AATGATGTGTGATTTTTTTTTTTCTGCTTGATTTATCCAGACGGAAGGAAAGTGCAGTGAACAATTTAACAGGAGCTAATGAACTCGTTAAGAACATTGCACTCAGACACCGGATTGGAAAAGAAAGTATGCATTAAATTCATAGTATGTCATATGTTGAGAGAGAGAATGTTTTTTTGAAATACAGAAAATTTGGTTTTGAGAAACTATGCAGTGATATTTTATTTTTTAACACCATTTAAAAAGTCATTATGTGAGCTTAAAATTATGTATTTACAGTAGAATTTAATGACATATACTTTAGTTAATTGGTTTTTAAGTATTTTTGGTTTTATCAACCCACAGGCTCCAATCCAGCTGTACAACCATATGTGCTTATGAGAGAGGAACCACCAGCAGGTCTGCCTCAACTGAATGAAAGCCAGTTTAAAGCTTTGGAACGAGCTCTGAATGGCAAATTCACCCTCATTCAAGGGCCTCCAGGTTAAAAATTCTGTACACATAAAGTTTTTAGTTTAGCCTTAAAGGCTAATTTACACTGCACAGACAGACGCTGACCAACGACATAACGTTTGTGTTGGTTTTGTTGGATGAATGTGTTTCCCCTGTATGCTGGTGTTGGTCAGCACTTTTTTTTTGTTGCAGATTGAACATTCAGTGACCATTTGGTCATGTAATGTCTGAGAAGTGACGTACTGCAATTTGGTGATTGTCTATGTTGATCGGCATCGGCCAGTGCAGTGTTAATTTGCCTTTAATCACAGAAAAACTTCACAGACCGTTGATCACAGTAACAGAGATTTGACCTTTTTTCCCCTCAATGTTTCTTAATGCAACTAAAAAGATTGGTTTGTATGTTCGTCCTTTATAGGAACAGGAAAAACAGTTGTAGGAGCGTATATAGTGTACTGGTTCTCTCAGCTGAACTCCAAGAATCCTTGGAAGCTGAAAGACGAAAAGAAAAGAGAGGTTATTCTTTACTGTGGACCCTCAAACAAGTCTGTGGATGTAGTTGCAGGTACGTCGAGGTTTGTGTTCTGGGGAACTAGTATTTGTGTGAAGAAGAAATTGATGGATTTATATGCTTGTGTTGGTTTTTACAGAATACCTGCTCAAGTTTGGAGAGCAGCTGAAGCCATTACGTGTGTACAGCAGACAGATGGAGATGCAGGAGTATCCCTACCCTGGCAGCAACATACAGTTATCACACAAATCACTCCGCCAAGAGCGGTCTAAATCTGAGCTCAGGTACTACCAATAAATAATGCTATTGCAAAAATCGTATATAATATTAATAATCACAGATCATTACAATACTCAAACTCATCACATTCCTGCATCTAGGAACATAACACTTCATCATAGAATCCGAGACAACTCTCACAACCCTGATTCCCAATCAATAAAGGACTTTGATCAAAGAATTGTCAGTGACCCCCTTTCACTGACAGACGAGGACGTAGAGGAGTACGTAAATGTTTCTCTTGTAATAATGCTATTTGTCTCCATTTTAAAAATGCTAAACTGTCACAAACAACTCTAAATACCTGTGGCTTAATTTCCATCTCCATCATCTAAATCTACCTAAAACACATCTCTGCATCTAAGAGTGTATCTACAAGTGTGTGATTATATGTGAATGCATGTCTGTATGACACTAAATTGTATGTCCTCAGATATAAGAAGCTGCTAAATTCTGCACGTTTGTATGAACTGGAACAGCATGATATTATTCTTTGCACCTGCACGGCTGCCGCCTCACCCAGCCTCACCAAGACACTCAGTGCACGACAGATCCTCATCGATGAGTGCGCCATGGCTACAGAACCCCAGACGCTTGTCCCATTGGTCAGCTTTAAACCGGAGAAGGTCAGAATGACTCTTGACGCATCTATAACAAACAAGTCTGTCAATAACATATAAACATATACACAAATAAAATGGATTAAAATTGTACAGAAATGTTAGGCAAAACTTGCTGTAAAATACCTACGCATAACTTAGACAAGACTTTCAAGACTTCCTGCACAGCCTAAATAATTAAAGCACTGACACTAGGGTTTGGAAGAAAGCTAAACTTAAGACTCTTTATAGCAGACTAAACAAATAGGAAGCTGGAGACAAAGAATAAGTATATTGATCTCCTTACTAACTCGCCTTTGAAATCAATACAGCAGAAAGAATGTAGAAGCAGAATACACATAATGAGAATTTTTCTAAGCAATAACAATCATACATTTTTAACATGAATTACAGAAGACACTCACTACTATAATGCCATTTAGTGTATACCAAAAAATCTTGTCAGGCATATTTAAAACGAGAATCATTTGATGACACATTAAAAGACTCAATTTAAGGATCATGCAGGACCCAAATACTAATTAATTGTAATTTTTTTAATCTTTATACTTCGCCATTATCCTTCAAAAACCACTAGGTTTTACTCATTTGTCAGCAAGAAGTTACATATTTAATCAGTACAGGTCAGAATAAGTCGATTGTTTGATTTTTACATAAATATATCCATTAGGCTGAATGACCATGTTTTGTTACTCTGAATGACATTTTGCCAAAAAGGGAGAGAATATTGTCATTGTTCCCATAATTCCAATAGTTTTAGTAGTAGTCTGTATCATTACATTAGATTTAATAATCTTCCCGAGTAAATGATGGCAGAAGCAGATGTTGAAAAGATAATAAGCAGGTTGTTCTTATGCTCCCTGCCATGCTTGCTTAGCTTGTCACTTTGTTTCTGACTTGCTCTGTCCCAAAAATGACTGCTTGCAGCTTTATTTACATGATGAATACTTTCTGTTTGCCAACATAAATGACGTTATCAGGATGGGTATTTGGGGTGGAGAATCCCCTCAATGGCCCCTTTTGAACTTGTGACATAGTGAGGGGGGACTCTCTGTTCAGAAATATTGGTAAGCATTTATATTAACAATTGCAATCCTCATTACCTTTCTTGTTTCCTTGCTAAAGGCCTGTTCACACACCAAGTAAACTATAATGATAATGAGAAGGATATAGTTAACTAAAAGCTGTTCTAAATATAAAAGAATAGCAAAGTCCACATCATAACTATAACGGCACACTGGCACAGAGAAACAATATAGTTGGAATCGCTCTCAGAGTGATTTTTTTTTTCAGCAGATGAACACTAAAAACATTGACAGCCAATCAGAATCCATCCTTATTTAAAGCAGCGGACAACAAACCTGCAGCACATGCTTGGAATAAACAGTGTTCTTGTTCGTTGGATGCTAATATAGTTATCATTATGATTATCGTTCTTGGTGTGAACAGGCCTTAAGAGTGCTACATTGTGTCTTCATTTACTTTTCAGCTTTTTGGCTTTTTACAGTGCCTAGCAACTAAGGGCATCTAAAATAAACTAATAACACAAATCAACCAATACAAGAAGACATTCCTCATTTATCTGTAATATAAATAATATGCTAAAATTGTTATTTATTCAGTGACACTGTCATTCACAGAGAATTCGCATTACACTGAATGAAAAAAGCATTAATTTGAATAACTAAACTTCTACTTCAGCTTATATTGCAGGCTATCAACAAATAGTGAGCTTGACTAGTAAAGTTAATCACAATTATTCACAAGATATTTTTCAAATAATCTATATGTTTAACGAATACGTTTTTTGAGGCATTTCACTAAATGACGTGTTTTTGTAATTTAAGTTAACACACCATGAAAAGGTAAAATTATCAATATTTAAGAGCAATAAACTAATTTTGCTGCAGCAT